GGGTTATGTTCCCCCTCTTCCAGTCGGCGGATTCTCGAACTACATTATCAGGCTGGATTCTGCTATTCTTAATGGATGATTTTAAGAAAAACAAGCATACAGATTTATTTCTAGCAAGAAGTAGGTGTCAAAAGAACTAACAGAATTCTTCCATCGACTTGCTTGGAAAGTATTTTCCACTACATTTCTACTTACATACCACATTAATCTTGCAGAATCAGATATTATTTGAATGATAATTAAAGAGTCCTGAAGAACATAAAAAGCACAAACAAGATCACAATTTTTTTCAAAAAATTTCTTGCACAAAAAACCCCCATTGTAATATACTGCTTCTCTCACTCGAGTCACAAAACAGGTTAGTTTATCACCTGTGGATTATTAATGCAAACAGGGACCGTAAGGAAGTTTTTCTTCAAATAAGTGCAATATAAAATACTTAACATGATATTCTATATGAATTGCTGCCCAGCTTATACTTACACTGATGCTCCAAGTGTTACTCCTCCCCAGGCAATGAACTGCTTGTTGGAGAGAATGGGTGGGATATCTGAGCACCCAGCAGCTGTAGACACAGGTCTATTTTCTTCAGACTCCGCCTCACCTTTTATCACCACTTCATACTGAGGCCCAGATGGCAGCACAAGGATTATCAAAGTGCTTTAAAATTAAATAAATAAATTTAAATCCCACCACAGAACAAGATTAGCTGATGAAAACAAAACATAACTGAAAAAAAAAAAACCCTATAGACAGGCCATTTTAAACTACCTTCTTAAGGGGGAAATACAAAAACTTTTTTTTTTATTTTATGACAAAGGCCAGCTTTAGGCATAGCAAAATTTAAATCCTATGGTTTGTAAATATGCATGCCACGTGTACCTCAAGCAATCTTCTGAAGTATTTTATCTGGAAATGGTTCAGATAAGTATTTCAGAGACTACGGAGGGCTTTTCATGATACAGTTTCTACCCTATAGGGCACAAGCACAGTGCAGATGACTACTGCCTACTTCAGGGAGAGCAGATAAACTGATGAAAGAGAGCATCAGGAGTATAGATTCAAGTAATGAAGTAGAAAGAAATGCGCTAATACTGAATAGGAAAGCTGGACCTAACTACAAAAAAGAAAACAGAGAAGAAACTAGACACGCTGAAAAAAAAATAATCCCACAAAACCAAAAAAACAGAGGAGGAATGAGGAAAAAGAAAGTGCTAACTAGTTAAGGGGGACACAAGCCAAGAGAGAAATAAAAGAAAAGGCTAGAGTATATAGGGAAGGAAGTGGAGATTGGAAGTATCTAACCAATGATACAGGAAATGAGAAAAAAAAAAATCAATCAGAAAAACAAAACAGGAAAAAAAAAAAAAGGAAAAAAGGTATAGGGCAGGAATGAAATCAAGCTTTTAAAGACTAGGCTGAAGCATTTGCTATATAGCACAGACTCACAGCCAGGAATTAATCTCAAGACCTCCACTCTAGCTGTCACCCAATTCCTATGATGCCTACTGATAGTGCCCAGCATCCCACCAGAAGGGAACATGCACTCTTGTTACCACTTTAGTTAATTAGCCTTTTGGCAGCATTTGCAAGCAGGCTGCAAAGTTTCCTACCCTACTGAGTACTCCAAGCCTGTAAAGCAAAGCAGTTATGCATAAAGCCACAGGAAAGCAATGACTAATCACTTTGCATGCTTATCCATTAGGATCATACTGTCATTAGCACAGAACTTCTCATTGTTTAATACACTGAGTAGGCTCAGTTAAACCAGATTGTGAAGCTGAACATATTTTGGACAGATTCCTTTGTCCATTCTTGCTCTTATGATAGCAGAAACTGGAAGACACGTAACAAAAGAGGAAAATCTGCTCTGGAGAAATGAGTCTGACCCCTGCCATTGCCAAAAAACTCTTACATGACACCAGAATGGTCACTTGAACCAATCAAGTCTATTTCACAGAATGAAGTTCAACAGGTGCTAAAGTGCAAAAACATGAATGCTTACATCTGCAAATGGAACGTGTACATTAGTGTTATACAGGATTTACAGATTAACTTTTATTTGATTATGGCAGCCAAAATTAATGAATACTTTTGATTCTGATCTGTGCTTGAGTATTTTCATACGTAAAATAGAAATAATATTCCCCTTGTCTCAGGGGAACGAAGAAGAGGGAAGAAACTGAAGGGGCTGCTGAAAACAAGTATTTTAAAGCTTTGTTGTACTTTATAAACAAGTACCATACGAAGGGCTTCAGGGACTTACTCCATTTATTTACACTAAACAAGTCTCAGGACATCTGTTGATCTATGACAGGAAGTATTAGCTACTCATTAAGCTACATACAGCAAGAGAGGCAAGGAACCAAAGAACAAGTGAACCCTAGCAAAAGTCTACTTTGTAATGAATGAGGACTCTCACAAAAACAACTGAAGGCAAAGTTTCCCTTGCAGGTAAAACTTTCAATTTGTTCATGACCTTAAGGTCCAAAGCAGCTCTGTTTAAAACAGGCAGCATAAAATCAGTTATGTTACCTTTCTGTAGTCGTTACATTTTTTGGAAAAAACAGGACAGTCACTTCTCGTTCTTCTCCAGGAAGAAGGAAGAAATCCTCAGGTTCGACAGCAAAGCAGCTGTCCTGATTTGATGTCTGAAGGTGGGCAAGGGAGGGTTTACTTATTTTAAGGGAGTAAACATTTCTACAACATATAATACAATTTGGTTGTGCATCTGTCATACATACAGTTTGGACAATTCAAATGCACCTGGCACCTTCAGAACTTTCCCATAACTCTGCACTTAAACTCTTCTAAAAAGTTGGACACTATAGTAGAAATACCTCTAAAAGAGGCATCTTAAGACATCAACTGTGTATACAACATTGAAGCGGCCACAGAGAGAGTTAAAGAATTTAACAATAAGTTTAACGTGCAAATGGTACACCACTAGTGAAGTAACATCACTAGTCTCAATGGTGGTACCAACCATTACTGGTATCGATTAGTATCCAGGATCACCATGTTAGTGTGGCATTTGCAATTCTAGTCATGTGTCCTATTTCCATGGCCTGTGCTCCAAGAAATGACAGGCTCACGACCCGCAATTTTATTTTATTTTTTTTAAATGTAAAAGGGACCAACTCCTTCTGCTGACTTTGAAATGCTAGTTTCAAATGTGTTTAGTTACCTTTCAGTCTGGGACCATACTTTCCATGGATTCTCAAGAAAATTGAAGTCAAGTAAAGAAATCATGTATCTGAGAAGAACTCATACTTGAGTTGGCAAGATGTCCACTGAAAACTAATGCAGCTTTCTTAGAAAAGAAATATGTTTCCCAATGCTAATATTCCTTGCTGCTCTAAATGGGCTTTACTCTACTAGCTAATTAACATCTGGTATGCAGCACAGGATTCACTACTTTTACATATTTGTTATACACTTGTTAAAAATCTATTTCTTAAAAATTATAAAAGTATTTTTCTTAAAAAATTATTTTCTTGAGGTAGAGGGCAACACTTCCACCCCTCCTTCCTCACCTGTGCCTTCTGAACATCCTGTAGCCATCGACAGTCACACTCCAATTGTGGGATTCGTTCCACCAAGTGTCAGTAATGGCAACTAGGTTGTAGCTTTCTAGCAGCACAGTGGCTTCCAGCTCCTCCTGTCTGCTGCCCATGCTTTGTGCATTGGTGTAGAGGCACTTCAGCTGGGCTGTTGGCCATGTCGCTTTCTTAGAGGAACATCCCTCAATTTCTTCGAGGTATTTCACTGGTGTTTCTCTGTTGCCTCCTATTACTCCATGAGCCCCCGGCTCATCTTTGTAACACTTCAACTGTGCTCCAGTGCAGCCAGCACATCTCAGAGCAAAAGGCTGAGGGCCCTCACTAGCACCCCATCCTCTAACCTTGGCGTGTCATCCCGCAGCTTGTCGCAGGCAAGCCTGATATTATCCCCTTCCTCCTTCAAGCCTAGTTTAAAGCTCTGTCAATAAGCCCCACAAGGTCCTCGGCAAAGACCCTCTTCCCCCTTTAGGAAAGGTGAATCCCATCTGACACCAGCAGGCCTGGTGCCGCGTAGGCCATCCCATTATCAAAAAACCCAAAACTGTGGCGGTGACATCAGCCACGGAGCCATGTATTGATAGACTAGGTCCATCTGTTTCTTCCAATGTCATTGCCCGCAACTTGAAGGAGAGAGGAAAAAATAACCCGTGCTCCAGATTCCCTTATGTAAACTTGTAAATCTTTTGTTAAACCACACAGTTAAGCTAGGATCCCAAGGCTCTGCTCTGGCTTCAATAGAACATTAACAGCACAAAGCTCATGATTTCAAGAGGGAGAAGCCAACCTACCTTAACTTTCAAATATACACCAATGTTTCCAGCATTTTTCAATGGCAGCTGCTGTTTGGCTGTTGAACCCACGCTAGTAGACAGATATATTGTCTGGAAAACATAAAGATGTGTGTGCGTATGTATACATACATATGTAATAAAACCAAACATTACAAAATAAGTAGGCTAGGAGACACTATTATTAAAACACACTTTGTAAATACATGCAAACCTGTAAGTCCTTTGGAGCGTGTATCCTTGCTGTTCCAGCTCTTGCTCGGAGAGGAATACTTTTAATTACGCTGCTAGGTCCTGGACTATCCACTTCTACATCAACTCTTGCCAAGAATTCATCTGCTGGACCCAAGGAATCTAGGAACAATTCCATGAGTAACAAAAGCAAGCAAGTCTGCTAGCAGCAAAGGCCATTCCTACGGATGCATATCTCACTTTAGCTACTGTCCAATCTTAACATATTAATGTTGTGGTGATGTTAACAGAAACTCTCCCCGTTACCCTGGCAACACTTTTTTTTTTTCTTTTAAATAAAGTCTCACAGGATCTTATTTAAAATTTTTACCTTTCAGTCAAATGTGGCTGCCATTGCCCCTACAGCAAATGAAAAAAAAAAAAAAACAAAACCCCATTTTAACATACTAGTTAAACTAGTTGATATACATCCTGTTTCCTATTCACTATTTACTATTCAGGAAGCCAGAAAACCTCAGAGGTTTCTTCAAATTTCTTATCTGTTTTCCAACCAGTGCAATGTTTTCTGAAGCAATGATTTAATTCCCTCAGCAAAAGGAATAAAGCAAGTTCTACACATCTTGCAGTAGATAACTGCTTTGTACAGCTTGATACTGAAGTATAAATACCCATGTTAATATCTAAAAGATTAACACATAGAAGTATTCCACCTCCTTCAGTTACTAAAACTGAATTCAATACCCGAAATATTAGGACATAAACCAAAGATGGAACATTTCATTTCAAATTTGCAGCCTGTTCCTGCAATTCTAACACAAGTATACATTAAAAGTCAAATTTGTTTTAGTTGAAATGAAAATCAAATTGCTATACCTGAAGAAGAAATTTGTTTCTTAGGTGCATGGAACAGAACCCAAACCGTTAAAGCTTCAGGATCCTGAAAAAGAAATTGGTTGACTCATCTTAGGGGAGGTGGCAGGGGAGAGAATTACTGAAGAGAAAAAAAAAACTAGCAACAAAACTCTACTGCTCAAGTAGCAGACTCCTCAAAAATCATTACTGTCAACACGGATACTCAGAACCGTCATTTCAGACAGCAAGTAACAGAAAGAATCAGTCAACTACAAACTACTCACTTGCCCATCATAGCTTGCATGTATCACATGATTGACAACTGATGGAGCTGCTATCTGAGAAACTGCATCCATTTGAAGTGATTGTTCATTAGAAGGATTAACTGGTTCCTTGGAAAATGTGAAACAACGCCAAGCTACTGCATTCTGTCAAAAAAATAAGAGATTTAATACCTTTAATACTTCATCGTCACTAACAATAATGCTGACAAAGCTAGGAAATACAAGGCAAGTTCTGAATGATCTAAGGAGTTTGGTAAAAACAATCAAAGATTAGCCTGTAGTTTCAGCTGGTATGTGATAGTCCAGCTAACCCTCTAAAAATAGTCAGAAACCCTTCTGCAGTAAAAGGAGACAGGCTGGAACTGGTTAGGTTAAGCCTTCAAGAAGTTCAAGACCAAACCTCATTAGTCATCAAGATGACCTGATCTAACCTTAACATAAGGTCAGTTCGTGCTCCCCCACATAAGGAAACCAGACCAGCTCTTCCCATGGCACAAAACAGCAGCCAGCCTAGCCAAAAACCTGAAAACTGCATTGCCACGGAGAAGTAGTGGAGCATATTGTAGCCTATAATGCAGGCTATTATTGTCTAGTGGAAGACAAAGCAACTTGTTTTGTAGCAAGTTTAACATATTCTCTCTTCCTCTGCAGAGCTAGAGCAGGACTCTTCACTCTGACTAACCAAAGTTTTCTTGGGAATCTTACATCTCATGCCCAGGGTACAGTTCTTAATGACATAACAGAGTGTTTTAGTATTAAAATTCAGTATCACAAGAAGTTAACTTTGACATACAGGAAGTTTACTGTACTTACAGCATTAATAATGAGTCTAATTGGCACAAAAGCATGGGTTTTGTTGATAAGTTTTAGTGGAAGAGCCTTCCAACTGCCAGAAGTCAAGTCACCAAAATCCAGATAATCTCTTTTTCCTGTTTCCACCTGGTTTTAAGACAAAGCAGAACTTACAAGGGAGGAAAACCTCCAAAACACACTACCATACAAAAGCACTGGGAAAGTAAGCATGTTATACACCTATTAGATCCTCTTAATGCTATACACACATACAATACACACCACCTACCAAGGGTAGGAGGAGTCTAAGAAATGTGTTTCCTGTGATGTCAAAAGGAGTTACATCCAATTGGCTATCTCCCACATACTTTGCCTCAATCAAGTAAAAGCCAGTCTTATGCAATATTTATCCACCAAAACCCAGTACACAATCAAACTACTTCAGCTAACTTAAAATAAAAAAAATAAATTTAAACTATGGTTATTGCTAGCAAGTAAGAAATGTCAGTTTTAGATAGTTAAAATGTCATTTTTGCAAGTTAAAAGTTAAGAAACTAAATAAGTAGTTTAATTTTTTGTTAGCATAAAGACACTTAAGTGTCATGATCTGCAGCAAAACACAGCTTTTATTTGGTCCTTTTTTGCATCTCAGGAATATAACAAGACATGCAGAGTTATAGCATAAGAATTCATTTTAATTTAAATACAAAGCAAGTTTGAATGAACTATACCATGAAGAACATGAAGAAGGATGGATCTTGCCAAACTACATATTAAAAAATGCATTAAAAATTAAATCAAAGTTTGTGGCAGAAGCATTTTAAAAAAAACCCTATATCCATTCATGTGTATTCAACTAGAATATCATTATCATTTAAAACATATATTCAGCCCAAAGCAGGTTAACAGACCACCTTAAAATGAAAATAAATAAATAAATAAATTGTTAGCTGCGGTTGATGACTGAAAATTTTACTTTTATCAGCGATGTCACTGACTATCATGTAATTTGTTCCATCACCTCCAAAAGTACCACCAAGCCCATTTCTGCCTGTCCATACTCTTAAATTTAGGACTACGTAAAGCCAGATTTAATTCTTAATGTCACACTGACTCCCACCTGGTTGTTCTCCATGATAAGACACAAGGCAAAGCATTTTATACATCCACTTAAGTTTAATTTTTAATTAGTCAAAAATAAGAAAATATTCTCTACAACCATAAGCAAGCTGAAAGTAGTAAGAAACTAAGACAAGGCCTACTTGATGTAAAAAAATAAAGAAATTCTTACAATTGGAAATAAACGTGCTTTCTTACATTTTAATGTCCAATGGTATCCAACATAGCAGATATTCACATGTTTAAGATCTCATCCGTTCTTTTAATTATGAAAAAACAATACCTTTTGATTTATTCTTTTCAGACAGTTCCATAATAATTCTTCATGTCCAGCTAGGTGCTTTTCCACAACTAAAACGTCCTAGATAGTTATACAAGCTTTTCATAAACATTCTCCTATATTGCCTCTCCACTCCAAACATAAGAAATCCCAAGTTCCTTTGAGGAACAACTTTGCATTCCTATTCTCTTCCAGTGTCATCAAATTATTCATAAAATTCCAACAAAACAAAACACAAAAAAACCCCCACAATAAGCAGCTACTTACTTCTAAATTAGGATTTTCAGCGACTGCTGTCAGAACTACCCTACTTGCCAAAGCTTCTGCCTGAACGATTGTCTCAGCATCTGCAGAAACTGGCCAAGATGACACATTGAGAATACACTGAAAGATCCCCGAATGACAAGGTAAGAAAAGTATTTTCAGATCATTTGTAGAATAGGATCCTACGATGGTTTTGTTCTTGAAAACCAGACATTGATATTTCACAGGATCCATCTGAAAAACAAAATCTCTGTCATTTTCAAAAGACCTCTTGCCAGAGCAGAGCTTCTTTCAAAATACCACATATATCTGGCACCACTGTTCAACACAGACATTTTGTATAAGCTTTTACTCAATATTAATTAATGCATCTTCATATTCATGTCCCACTTCCATCTCACTCAACTGTAGGCATTTTCTTTTAAATTTAAAGAGTTAGACAAGTCAGCCTGAAAGTTGCTGGGGTTTCTTTCCAGCATCTAGTGAAAGATTAACACTAGGATTGTAGTATTCATTATAGCTGAAAATGATTTCATAAGTGAACCCGATTTTTGAGAAAGAACAGCAGTAAAATAAACAAACAAAGCCAATTCTACTTGGTGCTTTCTGCCATCAAAGATGGGAGGAAGAGGTAAGGTGGAAGAGTAACGGAAAGGTCAGTGGATGGAGGTCACCAGTAAATCCTAGCGCAGATGCCTTAAAGTTTCTGTTGTGAACGTACTCATAGATAATCTTCAGCGACTGCAAGTCATACTCAGTGTATCTCAGAGTTAACTTGACTGAAAAAATGGTTTTCAATTACATTGTGCAGCAAACATTAAATGTATATATTTATTCATTGAAACAACTGCAAATGGGACTGTCAACCATTAAGTAATTTCATGAAAAAAAAATCACCCTCATAAGAGAATCTCAGATTTGAAAAGCTGCATAAAAGCCCCAAGATACTGAGTGACTAGAAAAATAGGTAAGAAATCTGAACTGTCATATATACATACATATATAAACACATACAGATTTGTGGTTTGGTGGTTTTTAAAGAGGAAATGTTCAGAGAAAACAAAAGCAAAACCAGAAGTCATACTGCTGGAAAGACACATGCTACATCTGCTGGAAGAATATACTTGAGGGATATGATCACGATTTTTAAGACTTACAAGCAGCAATGTTATATAAAGTGCATTACTGTCCATTATTTCTCAGTAATAAGGACTACACAGAAACAGCAAGAACCAGATTTAAAAAGGGAAAAAAACAGTAGTGCATAGAATCCACAACTGAAGAGAACTGTGGACAACACTACACAATTTCAAAATATTATCTAGTTAAAGACCAGTCCACCAAAAATTACTAAGAATGGAAACGAAGTCCATCTCAGAAGTTCCCAAGCACCAAACTGCCAGAAGTTCAGAGTATACTATGCTGCTTCTGTTGTTACATTCTTCTCTACTAAGAGTATTCATCAGTAAAGGAAATTACACTGATGGACCTTTAATCTAACTCATTCTCATGTTCTTGAGATATTTTACCACTGGAACTATTACTATGATGACAGAAGTATATAGAATTTAACAAAATTAAAGTGCAAGATGCCCAATCTATGGCCTACAAGCTACATATAACCCACAGAACAACCCATGTAGCTTGAAGACTGCTCCAAATGTTTCTCATTCTCTGTCACGCAAGACTTCCTTACTTCAAGAAAAATGGGAGCAAACTGCACAAAATGTTTTAGCAGTAACAGTCCTCAGTGTGGATGGTTTCTTTTCTAGGCCTGACCTTTCTTGCATACAAAGTGGGAATGAATAAGCAGTAAATTCAAACCTACCACACTTTACATGCACAAAACAATTCTACAAGTCAATCCCATCATGTGATGTTTACCCCTCTGTGCCCACTTGTTGGAATAAGTCAGGTGGCCTGGCTGAAAGAGGGTAACACTGCTCTTGTGCGTATTAACTATAAAATGGGAAAAAGTTACAAATCTGTACAGAGGGCTCTAATTTTACATACAACATCTGGTAAAATTACAGGATTATTCCTATAGCTTTATTAAAAAAAAAAACCTCTTACCTTTTCCCCATTAACTGAAACACTGAGTATCCCAATGCTGACCTGCAACCACCGATCAGTTGGATTAAAAATGCTAAGAACCGTCTGTGATGCAATTCCCACACAACAGGCATTAGGAAACTTCAATTCTTCTGGTACTTTTACATGTCCTTTGGAAGAAAATATGTTCCTGTTAGTTCCATGTACCCAGAAACAAATCAGCACTCAGACTGCCACCATGTCAACTTTATAAACTTATTTGATGAATGCTTCATTATGGCAAAGAAGTGTTTGACTCCTACAGTTTTCATAAGAATGTTTTCCACAAGCTTGATACTCAGAATTTCAATCGTTTCTAATTTGCATCTTATTTGGAGTTCTATTGTCATGAACAAAAATACTTTGAGAAATAGCACATCCCATACAGACACTTACCCAAAAAGTATATATATACACACACACCTCATATAAAACACTCAGCATTCACAATTTCATCAGGACTAGCCCAACTCAGAAAATGTCAATATCAGTATTATAACATCTTTAGAACATTTACACCAACCAAAAGGAAAATATTTTTACCAGAGTATAACTGTTACTTAAAAAAGGTGTTTAGGCATTTTTTTGCTACCGAAAATCCTGAGTACTCCTAGAGTAGATTTTTGCTGTAGAAATGTAGTCATCAAAAGTTACCACCCAAGCAAAAAAATCCTGCTTCAAATATTTTACTTCCACGAAGTCCTTACTTCTAAAATACTCAAAATAACTCTTTCAGAGGAATTGCAATATTATCATGACACCTCAAAACTCAAATGGAGATGAGAGTTCTCCAGCACACCAAGGATCAATCTTCATTACATCCAGAAACCCACTAATGGGTATTCTCATCAAATTAAAAATTTGACTTCTCAGAGACACACACAATTACCTGAAGTAGTTTTAGTTCCTTGTGCAACAAGCTTTATTTTAAAGCCACCCATTCTTATTGCCCTCCAAAAAATAAAATTTAACGCAAGGATGAAGGTGAAAATATAAACTAAGACTAGCATCACTGGAAATCAAGTTAAAAAAACCTCAAGCTTACCAAAATTCAAATTTAGACTACATAGATATTAAGAGTTCAAAAACATGTACAAAAGCCTAGAAATTATATATATTAAAAACAGACAGAGAGTAAGGTTGTTCAAATTTTACTTTTTTAAAATGCAGTAACAAGGTCAATGATTTAAAACAATCAATAAACAGAAAATAACCTATAAACTGTCACAAATTCAAACTTTCAACCCCACTAGCTTGCCATTTAATCTGAAGGAATTAGCCAGAAAAAAATATAGCAAAAAGCAACTAAAGGGATCATAGGTTAAAAGAAGTCTTTAAAATGAAACATCAATTTGCTTAGATTTCGAGCTAAGTCAAGACACAGAGAAATGGCAGAAAGTACAGAAGGCACTTGGCAGCTTGTCTTTCCCCTTCATAACCAGAAAACAGCTTAAGCCCTCCACTCTCCTCATCAGATTTTTTGGCTTAACTGACTGCTAATACCAAGGTAGGCTGGAGGCAGAAATATCATCTACTTTCCACACAAAATACAACTGAATTTCCAGAGCATGACTTGTACTGTATGGACTGCAGCTAGGATTTCTTTTCCTCCTATGAAAGACAGTTCTAGATCCTTTAAACAAACACAAAACCACTGAGTGCCGAAGAATGCTGAAATTCTTCTAGATTACGAAAACTTTCCTTTAAGACCATTAGGGGGACTATAAGAATACACATTGAATTCAGAGAATATAATTAAGGAAAATTAGTAATACTTTTTTTTTTTAAAAATAACAAAGCTTGCGTAAACAATAACTGTGGTTACACCTAGCAGTCATCTTAATTTTATTTGGTAGAATATTAGCATCATGACTATCGCCATTCTTGTCCACAGCTGTATTTTAAACACAGTCTAAAAAACACTCACCAATACCAGGTGACTTTGGCAACTCCCACTCGCTTCTACCAGCTCCAAGAGGTTGTCCAGTACATGATTTTATATTTAAGATATTCTTGTTCCAGGAAGTAGAATGTGGATTACAAAGTGAAGCTGCACCCAAAGAGCCAGGACCAATATTTGGACCTAGAGGAATTCCTACCATAAGTGGATTCTCTGGGATACCAGAACAAGGAAGCCCTCCTGGAAGACCAAAACCTGCAGAGCTACAGCCATGAAACTGAGACAAAACCGTATTTCCAGTAGATGGTATATTTCCCAGATGCTGTTGTGCAAACGGCGTCATTGCAAGAGAATGTCCTGTAAGCAGCGTGGGAACAGAAGATGAAATTGCTTGACTCACAGAGGTAGTGACATGGGATTTAAAGCTTGAAATAGGAACATAGGGTTCACCAGATGAGTTTTGATTGAAGGGCATATAAGTGCTTACTCCAGGATATACAGGTAACATATTCGAGGATGGTAATCCTTGTCTCTGTGCTTTGCTTGTTTGATCCTGCCACACTTCTTGTGCATCAACATTAACAGAAAGTGGCTGAAATATGCATAATTTACTTGGTAAAGCTGACTGAACATGATCTACCTCTTTATTATTTGCTGCTACATTTGAAGGAATAGATGCAAGCTGCTTTTCATTTTTCGGAAAGCCTTCCTTGGATAGTTCTTGACCCAGTACATCAAGTTTTCTTTGAAGACCTGCAAGTTCATTTTCTTCTGATTTCTGTTCAATACTAAGCAGTGCTTCTTTTCTATTTCTTTGACATGAGTGGTCTTCTAGATTTCCACTTGTATGTTCCTGCAAAGGAGTTGGGCTGGCTCGAATTATTGTTGTGCTCAGTTCACGAGCATTTTCACCCTAGTAAACAATTATAATATGCAGTATTACAAATTTTAGAAAAGCAAATAGGATACATAAAACAAGATAGACCTTAATATTGGTATTGCCATCCAATATAAATAATCAAGTTTGTCAAGTCTTGTCTGAAGTTTTGCTTTTGTAACATCTGTGGCTCTTCACTTTGAAAAAGAAAACCTGCAACTTCAACCTGTTTACTATCTAAAGTCACATTCTAGCTAGGTGTACTGGGTCTAGCTGGGATGGAGTTAATTTTCTTCATAGCATCCTCTATGGTGCTGTATTTTTAGATTTGTGACCAAAACAATGTTGATAAGCAGAGCAGTGCTTGCACAGTGTCAAGGCCTTCTCTGTTTCTCACTTTGCCACTCCAGAGAGGAGGCTGGGGGTGGGCAAGAGGTAAGGAGGGGACACAGTCAGGACAGCTGACCAACTGACCAAAGAAAGAATCCATACAATGTAATATCATGTTCAGTAATAAAACTATGGAGGAACTTTTCCAAAGTAGCTGTTGCTTCGAGACTGGCTGGGCACTGGTCTGCTGGTAGCAAGTGATTGCTTTTGCATCACTTTCCCCCCAACCCCAGCCCCTTTCAATTATTAAGCCATCTTTATCTCAACCCACAAATCCCCCACCCTGCCCTTTTGCCCTTCCAATTCTCTCCTCTATCCTGCTGTGGGGAGATGAGCAATTGGGGGGGAGCTCAGCCACCAGCTGGGGTCAACACACCACACTAGGCATTAACACCAGAAGAATGCTCTGCTCTCTGAAATTACCACCGACTAAAGAAGTTGCCACAGGGCCAAAAATGTTTGACTTCCTATGATTTTATAAAGCCATTCTGTGGGAAAGTAACTGTACAAAAAAAAAAAAACAAAAACAAAAACACCCAAATGGAGCAGAATCTTAACTTGCTAACAGGTTCACAGGCATTATTATTTTAAAAAACAGAGACCTGCAGTGAGTTGTCTTATTTATTGTGTTTGAATCCAATATTGGGAAGATTTTCATATTTAAAAATGCATGCATATTTTCATATTTAAAAATGCATCAATTCCAAATAGCAGCATCCAAGTGCGGTATAGATTATTTCTCTATATATTCTTTATGACTTTGAAAGCTGGAGAGGGACTGCTTACAAGGGCATGGAGTGATAGGACAAGGGGTAATGGCTTTAAAGACAGTAGATTTAGATTAGATATTAGGAAGAAATTCTTTACTGTGAGGGTGGGTAAGGCACTGGAACAGGTTGCCCAGAGAGGCTGTGGATGCCCCATCCCTGGAAGTGTTCAAGGCCAGGTTGGATGGGGCTTTGGGCAACGTGGTCTAGTGGAGGGTGTCCCTGCCCATGGCAGGGGGCTTGGAACTAGATGATCTTTGAGGTCCCTTCCAACCCAAACCATTCTATGATTCTAAAAAAAATAAAAAACTGAATGGCCCTGAATTAAATCACTAATCAAAAAGGATTCATTTGAAATGCATGAAAATGCAATGACATTTGCATGTGCGCACTCACACAAAGAAATCATTCAAGCAGAGAGACCTTCCATTTTGGCAGGTACGCACGGTGTAGGTGGAATGAGCACACCTCACCCCCATTCTCAATTCCTCTTAGTCCCAGAGTCTGGGGTTTTTGTACTTAGAAATCAAGAGTAAGAGAAAAAGAAGTACAGATCACAAATATGTATACACACAAATGTGTTTCAAGGAATCTCCTATTGGGTTAACTGACAAGAGCAGAAGTGACTACACTCTCTCATGCACTGTTCATAGCTACTAACAGTAGCACTGGCACTAATCAGTGGAGGAGGATTGACCATGGGAGAACCACCCTCACACAACTGGCATCACACTTGGCAGTCTTCACAATACAGTGGATAGAACTCCAGGTATCTCCCCTATCGATCTGGAAAATGAAAGCGTTCTTCAGATGTGCTACAAAGGTTATTTTTTTTCTTGTTAAGTACATCCAGATCACAGATTCCATTTTCAAAAATGGAGTTCCAAAATAATTTTTAAAAGTTTCAAAACCAAAACAAAACAGTGTGGTATCAAAGCAATCAGACATCAGCTCAGGACAAGTGTACCTATAGAACTCTGACACAGGAACAAGAGAGCTACAAAACGGGATGAATAGTATCTACAGCATAAAGCAATTGTTCAGCTTAAGTAAATAGGACTTGGAAGGCAGGGAAAGGCATGTGAAAGACAGGGAAAGTACAATAAAGTAGCTGTTCATATAGTAGAAAAGTAAGCTGCAATCCTGTAAAAAGGGCATTCAGGCAGCTGCCTTAGGCAAGATGGCTCACCAGGTCAAATCAAGAAACAAGAAATAAATAAAAAAAATTTGAAAAGTCATACATCTTTGATAACCTGACCCTAGCGTTAAAGGGAGAGGGCACCCCTGGTTAAACACATTGTGCTACAGTAAGTATTAAGATCTGAGGATAACACCAATACAAACATTCTTCTTGTCTGTTCAGGCAAGGGACATGAAAAGTGGCATTTAATAAGTACAAATGAAATGAAGATCTCTCAGTCTCTCTCTCAGCATAAAAGATTACTAACCCAAAGGAAAAAAAATGAACACTGCAGCAGTACAAATGGAACTTATAAATGTATTCATAATACAAATGTAAAACTTTGGCAAAGTACTTGAGGATTTCCTTGCCAAACTATCCTGGGGAACAAAGACTACTCAAGCAGTAACATCTCTTCAAGACAGAGGGGCAAACTAGTATGCAGCCAGTTACATCAAAGCATCAAGAGCCACCCATTTGCATGAGATGACAAGAATCTAGAACCATATGCATTCAAAATGTGAAATAGACCCAAGAGTTGATGCTATGCCAGCACGGACTGCAAGCAAATACCCATTTAAATTTCCCCTTGAGTTCCTTCCTACAAGACTGTGATTCCCATCAGAAACATCAAGATGGAAAAGACCAGATATTCCCTGTGTAACTTGAGTAACTAGACCTAGAACAAAATGGGCCATAGGCCAGAAGACATGCTTCCTTCTTCTTGATGCTCTCAGCATGAAGGAACGTTGCTGCTGGTTTTCCTATAGGAGGAAGAAAAAGCTTCACTAAGCATTCACTAGCCACCTGCACAAAATATAGAAGCTTAGCTATAAAAAAAATTTATGTTAACCAGAAAGCTACTCAAGGCCTAGAAGGAAAACTTCCAAAGGGGGAAATGTAATCGTGAGATAGAGGCCATGAGACAGAAACTATAGAATGATTAGCCTGGAATAATTAGTTTGTAACCAAGGTAATAGGTAACGAAGCTAACTGACCACGGCAATGTACAATGCTGCTATGTTCTATGTACAGTCCCTACCCAACCGGACAATAGATTCGAGAATATTAATCATATGAAGTAAGTTGTTATGGACAGGTGCACCCACAGCAAGAATAATGCACGTGCCCGCAAGAAGAGGGTTATCCAGCGGACACGGGTGTGTGACCACTGACGACCACCAGAGACCCCTTGAGGACCACTGACTCAAATCACTGAGCATGTGTTACGGGAAGGAGAATATGTAAATGAGTTCCAAGAAATGACTATCATAGGACTGCCTTTTCTGAGAAAAGTGATGAATATGTATGTTTTAATTCTATATAACCTGTGTGTTTGTAATCACCTGCATGCATGTTGGGTGGAGCCGATTCCCCGTGCATCCAGTGCTGCAATAAAGCAAACCTAGGGTAACTCACATCTGGTAAATTTCTTACACCCTTTTACACCACCAGTCCCAAAAAGCCTGACCCTCTGCAAATGAAAGAAAAAAATGCATAGCAGATAGCATTTCTATTTCCTGTGTTAAAGAAATCAACAACCAGTAAAGATATTACAAAATCAATGTAACCACTCAGTTACACAGATATGGATGCAATCAGAGAGGTTTTTCAGCTTTTGTTTTTTGAAGTTCTGTCCACATTTCCACACGCTTTGGAAGGTGGGGAAGCATAAACAAACATTGCAGATTCCAAGAAACCCATGCATTTAGATAAAAGAATGCCAGTTATCTTAATCAGCATAAGATTGCTAGTCTGAACAAAAGTTTCTGTCTTTGCTACACTTCGTATGCTCTTTGCTAAAGCAGCAAGAACAATCAGAGTAACTGTCAGAGGTAGAAAATGATAGCTTCAGTCCTGAAAAAAAAACCAGCTAAAGCTAAAATACGTATTTATAAACATTTATCCAGAAAAAAAAAAATCCAAACAAACAAAAAAACCTGGGAAAAGTATTCTCCTAATAGCTGAAGCTGAGCAGAAAGGGAGCCTCAGGAGTGATGACAGCAGATATAGATCCTGCAGACTACCTGGAATACTGCACTGCGTTCCAAGAACAGAATGACTTAACAAGAAATTGAGGAAAAAATAAAGGGGAAAATACACCAAATCTAACTTTTTTCCAAAGTTAGTAGTTCTTTGAATGGTTTACTATGTTTACATTCATCAGAGTGTGTGCATTTAACAATCTATTTCAGAATTTAAATTTCTTAAACTCAGGAGTGGGGGAAAAGCAGAATACCTTTTCCCTATGCACAGCATGTCCTAAACTGTTCCAAAATCCTTAAGGCCTTTCTCATTTAGAATTATTTTGACCATTTAAGGGTTTGGGGGTGAAGGAGAGGTGTTGTTTTGTTTGTTTCAAAGAAAGGGAATTAATACATATTTACAGTTCAAGATTTTCTTACCCAGTATGTCTCCGGATTATGTACTGCAGCTGTGTTCCTAAGGGTACTGTCAGATGCAGATACATATGTTAATCTGCTCATGCTAGGACTTGAATAAACTGACTGAGGTAGTACACTCTCTTTGCAAGAAGATTCCTGATAATGTGACACGCAAGTAAAGTCAGTTTCAGACCTGAAAAACAGATTCGAAGCATGTCAGTGTTAGAATATATTTCTAATGCTGTACACACACACGCACCCCCCCCCCAAAAAAAAAAAATCAATGTTACATATTAGCTATACTATTCTAAAAGTCAACTTACTTAACCATTCTGTTTAGTACAGTCAGTAGAAATGAGAAATCAGTTCTCAATTAACCTTTACAAATTCTGGCTTCGATGTACATAAAACTAATTTTCATTAGATATGAATCTGTAAGGCAAAGTATCAGAGCTCCACAACTGAACTCAGATGCTAAGGTCACAGAAACAACACAACAATTTAGTAAAAGAAAAAAGGTGAATCAATATATTTGTATCTAACTAGATGGAAGAATGTCAAATGAAATCATTCAACATCCCAGGTGTCACATATTAGTATTTCCTATTCACTGCTGAGATTCTTGTCATTTCACACACCTGAAAAACATGGGATCTCTCACCAATTTGTCAAACAAGAAGAGGTAACATGAAAACAATTAAAGTCACTGACAATTTTAACTGGAAATCCTAATATCTATACAACACAGTTGCAAAACTACACATAATTCTGCACGTTTTAACTTCTGAGAAATTCCAGAGAGCCTGTAATTCTAATACCATGTACAACACACTAATTGTAGTTAAATATCAAACAGTGAACTTAAAAGTTAAGGCAAAGAAATGAGTTGCCTCTGCTTTTTATGAGAATGTATATAGCAACTGGCTACTGGCCATGTTTGTATGTTTAAGACTACACAATCAACTTAGTTGTAATCTTATAGTTTATATAACACTTATTGTTATGGGAGCTCATTTAAAAAAATATTGCCCTTTCAGTTGCTAAGAAAGCTTTAAATCTTAGACACAAGTTGCAGTATCAAAATATGAAGTGGTCAAAAACCATACAAATATTTCTACCTATTCTCTCTCACAACAAGCAGTGGTATGAATCAGAGAACAAAACTGAGTGAAATGAGTATAAAAAAACCCCACATCTTTATTGGCCTATACAATGTCATGCTTTGTTATCACATAATTAACAGCATAACCTCCAACCAAATAGCTTTATTTGTAATACATGAATTACACTAGAACAACAATTAATAGATATGGGATTTTATAGCTCCATCAACACGAAGTTTTAGTAGGTACCTCAGGTATATGACTAGCTAACAGGCTGAATATTTTGCATTCTTGCATTACTGGATAATCCTAAGCAAAACCAGCAATGTTCCTATCCAGGATCTCTGTCTCACCAAGCCAGTGAGGAAAATAAAAGGTTAACAATTGCTTAAGACTGCTTCCCCATACACATAATAAAAGCAAACAGAAAGCTTAGACTAAGAATGAAGTCTTAGCCTAATAACAATCTTCTATGAACTGAGATCAAGGACAACATTCAAACTAAAACTTGATTCCTCAAAAAAATCCTCATGAAACATTAACAACTCTTATAATCTGCACCAAGACATTTACCCTGAAAATGCTGTTCCAGAAGTCTCACTAGGAGAAGAGTGGATTAGTGGTGAAGTTGAAGGTCTGAAGCTATACTGCTCATCCTCTAGAGGCTGCAAGTCACATTCAGGTAGAATGGGTTTACGCTCTGGTAAATAAACAGAATTTAATAACAGTATCTATTTAAGCACAGGAAACAAGTCTACTGTCAAGAAAAGCCTTTTCAACAACTGGTTACATTTATATAGGCTTACTTACCAGTACTATTCTGGGAAGTTGGGGAGAACATCTCAAAAGTTACATGTTTCGCATTCCCACAGCACGCAGTACTGGCATCTTTGTTTGTCTTCTCTATTTTTGCATTTTGCTTCTTTTCACCGTTGTTCAATTTCTGCATAGGCTTTGCCTTTGTAGGACTTACTGAGACACATTTACTGGATTGCTTGGCAGGTTTTAAATTGCTGAGTGACAGAGTGTTTCCTGTACTACTTTCCACCACATCATTACATGGTTCAGGAACAGCATTTGTCGCTTGATCTACTGTTTCTGTGCCTTCCCTGATACAACACCTACTAGTAAGATCGTTGGTCTGGTAAGCAAGAGGACTTCTCTGTGCTGCTTCCATTTTTGCTGCTAAAGGAATTCTACATGTATGTGCTTCATTTCCAGTAGGTGAGGTTTGGGTATCAAGCGTATCTGATCTAAGTTCAGCATTCAGTGACTGTAAATGTTTACTATTTACTAAATCTGACATCTTTTCTGAATATTTAACACTATTTGCAGTTACATCTTCATGGTTGGGAACATCAGACAGACTAGAGAAATTCCGAATATCATTTGCTTCATTAAAATAATCCAGAAATCGCCTCTCTATTTCTTGCTGCTTGCTATGATTATTTATCAAGTCTTCTGCAAGAGCATCCTTATTTGTATCTTTACTCAGTAAAAAGGTACCAGGCACAAGGTTCTGGACAGATGCTTCATGTTTCACAATACTCTCGTATTCACTTTCATGTCCAATCTCATCTGTTTTTTTGAGGTATTTTTCCATATCAAATGCATCGTTTTCCACATTGCTGGATAATACTCTATTAGCAGAGAGTTCCGTCTCTTTAACAATTCCAGGAAGGAAACATGTTCTTTTACCTTTATTAGAGAGTGCCATCATCATAGCAGCTAGCTGGCAAGGATCAGCACTGGAGGAAGCATTAGCAATAGCAGAGGCAATTGTGCTAATACTCAGGACAGAGTCAGAATGATTAGATAAGCCATCTTCAAACTTGTCTTTATGAATTCCATCCTACAACAAATCAAAATGAGTTAAGCACCAAATTAAGAAATTTTTGTTTAGTGTTTTGGGTTTTATGTATTGGTAGTTGGGTTTGTTTGTTGGGGTTTTTTAAAATTATTTTGCATTTCCGTATATGGTAATATATTAATATTACTAGCTGTCACATATTTAATTGACTATTAAGAAGGAATACTGCAATAGGCCTAATTCTCACTGTACTGATTATTTAAGTATACCCCACAATTTTTTTTTAGAAGATTAAATAAAGATTGCCTGCTAGGAAGCATTAGTTCCTTAAAACTTTTAAAATCCTAAAGTGTTTTAATTCAGTTGGAAAAATTGGGAGTAAAATACCATCAGGAGCAAACACAGCAGAGAAGAGAGTACCATGACCAAATACACAGCATCTTCCCAATTTAAACCATCTGCCTCTTTACAAGGGGAAGACAAAACTATTTCTACAGTTTTCCCTATCACTCAAGTCTGATTTCTTCTTCAGTTTTCACATTGGCTATTGCTAGCAAAGGGCATGGAATACGTAGCCAGTTATGTCGAGACCACAATCTCTACACACGTCTCAGATACACATACATTCAGGAAGAAGAAAACCCCTCTATCCTCCTGTATATATGCATGCATATACATATAACATCCTTATAAAAAGACTGATGGAGCAGGTAAGTGTATCATGACTAGACTCAGAACTGGCTGCTCAAAGGGTTGTGATCAGCAGCACAAAAGTCCAGCAGGAGTCCAGCCACTTGCTAGCGGAGTACCCCAGGGGTCAAGACTGGGGCTAGTACTGTTCAACCTTCACTAATGGCGTGGATGATGCGGCAGAGCACACCCTCAGCAAGTTTGCCCATAATGCAAAATTGAGGGGTACAGTTTATACATCAGGAGAGTGAGCTGTCAGAGGGACCTCAACAGGCTGGAAAAGCGGGCTGAGAAGTTCAAAGGGAAAAGCCAAGACCAGCACCTGGATAACCCCAAGCACCCGTACAGGCTGGGGACCAACCAGCTGGAAAGCAGCCTCGTAGAAAAGGACTTGGGGGTCCTAGGAGACATGAAGCTGACCATGAACCACCAATGTGCTCTTGTGACAAAGGAGGCCAAAGAGCATCCTAGGCCACGGTAAGAAGAGAGCTGCCAGCAGGCTTAGGGAAGTGATCCTTTCCCTCTACTCAGCACTCGTGTGACCACATCTGGAGTGCTGTGCCCAGTTACGGACTCTTAAGTACAAGAGAAGACATGAACATACTGGAGAGAGAGTCCAGTGAAGGACCACAAAGATGAGTAAGAACTTGGAATATCTGTCATATGAGGAGAAAGCTGAATTGCTCAGCCTCAAGAAGACAAGGCTCAGGAAGAAATCGTATCAATGTGTATAAATACCTGATGGGGAAAAGGAGAGGGACAGGGAAGAGTAAAGACAATGGACCCAGACTCTTCTCTGAAGTATCCAGTGAGAAGAAAGGAAGCAACAGGCACAATTTTAAATACAGGAAATTCCATTTAAACATAAGGAAAAGATTTCTAATGTCAACATGATCAAACACTGGAACAGGTAGCCCAGAGGGCACCCAGAGAGACTATAGAGTCTCCATCCTCGGAGATATTCAAAATATGACCAGACCTTGATCAAGAAGGGATGGACTAAATCTCCAGGACTGTATTCTGACCTCAACCATTCCGTGATTTGTCTGTGTTTGAGAACATTTTAGTATCCATATCAGACTGAGGGTGACCTAAACTTATACAAATTGAGGGTAGGGTAGATTAGAATCTAGATATACATTATCAAAACCCCAAATTACTCATTTCGCATCTAGCGCAACAGGAATAGAGATAAATAAGAAAGAAAAGCAATTATGGCAGTACACAGTCAGATGAGCAATCCTACCACTCCTTCTGCATTTAAGTCTGCAGCCTTCATCATTTGATCAGCTAAACGAAGGCAAACTTGCTAGCTACTGATTCCTTTCAATGACCATGTAGGAGAAGGGCTGTTTCTGTAACTGAATGGGTCTGTATGTGTTCTGCCTGATCAGAAAAAGAACACGACACATTAAGGCAGAGAAGGCAGGTGTCTAGGATTACCAAATTGAAAATACACCTTTCAGACTTAAAACACATCAATATTTTTTAATTTTATCAAGTAGAAGACTTTATCCACATGCTAAAGACAAGTTGTTTCATTAAAATAGAAGGGGAAGACATAGCTGCAATTCAGAAACTTGATCACAGAACATCAATAGCCTAGGAATCTCTGAAAAACTATGGGCTGACAGACCAAGCAACTCCAGAAGTAAAGTAGGGAGAAAAAGGAAAATGAGACTGTGATAGTAACACCTGTCTCACTACAGGATCACGGCATTCTAATGAAACTAACCTAAGAAACAGTGACACCTGCTAGGATTCAAATGATCACTATAAAAAGCAATGAGCTGATACAAAAGTCCAAATTTAGCCATATTCAAAAATACAACAATAATTGGAGCTATCCGAATTTTGTTCAAGTTCACAGTTACACTTAATAGAAAAATACAAGAGAAATACCTTTCCTTTACTTTTGGTAGCAGGCTCTATATTAATGCTTTTATGTATTCCAGCTGCAGTATCCATTCTATGCCACGCACCTTCACAGCTGGCAGAATTTGCATGTTCTTTTGTTTGTGCTTCTAAGTCATCTAAGAACAAAGAAAAAGACAGGGAATTAATTTACAGCAAGTAAATTGTCTAAACATCTGCATTCTTGAGATACACGTGCTCCCTTAACGCTCTGTTAAAAAGAGCCGTTATAATGGCACAAACCTAAATACTGCATGCATCAATTGTTTCCTGTACAGTACTCAAAGTTTACACTCAAGTCACAAAATTAGCTGGCATTAACAACACCATGCTCACAGTCTTCATATTTTATTTTCAGGTAGCTTATCATATTAGCATAAGCTAAAAAAAACCCCCACTTTTAATGAAATGGTGTTTGCAAGATAATATGAACATAGACCAAACTACAGTAGAAAACTAGAAGAGTTAAATCTGAGTAAAGCCAATTTTCTTATGCTAAAGACAGGGTTTGACTGAGGTAGATAGCAGTGAACTGCTGATTTTGAAGGATTATGTTTAGGAGGGACAGGTGTGTTTCTTAAACCATTAAAACCACAAATAATCTTCTTGATTACGACATCAAACTCAAACAAGGAGGTATTGTTCATATGAGATCTAGAGGCTACCATTTCAACAAATTAGTTCCTGCTTGAACAAAAACATCCGGACTCCCTAGAACACCAAAACCAACTTTTACAGATGCACTGATCAGTGAGAAAACAAGTATGAAACAACAAACATTTTTGGTTTGGGGGTGGTTTTTTGTTTGTTTTTTGGTTGGTTGGTTTTGGAGTGGTGGGGGTTTTTTGTTTTGTTTGTTTTCTTTACTTCTGTTCTTATAGTAGATATTTGGGGTTAAGCTACTGGTATTGCTGATAAAGATTATTATTGCCAGTACTACAGAAAATCAGATGGCAGTAACTATTAATATCTTGACCACAAAGTGACCCAAATACCTACTTTCTCTAGCATTTATAGAAACCCTCACATCAAAACAACTGCAGAGCACATTAGGGTATTCTTCTATATCCTATTATACAATTCTACAATTGTAACTATATTTTATAATACAATACATATTATAACTATAATTTAACTGAATGGAGGTCATGAACTGAATGAAAAATCCAGGCTATTGTAAAATGAATTTAAGCACAGTAACACTAGATTAAAAAAAAAAAATCATTAGACACCCCTTAAAAATATTTGCAAGGTCCCAGCATTAGGAAAATTACAATTGTAAAGCTGTTTAAGGAAGGAGGCTCCATAAAAGACTGATGGTTATTTTTCACCAATGCAAAAAAGTATTTAAGTCACTGCACTGACCGTACAAGCAGGTTCACAAAGACTGATGTTGCCACAGTTCTATCAAGAACAGTAGAGATGCTTTAAAATGCACTCATCCTTTCCTAAATATACCTTAAGTTGATAGGCATATATATGCACCAAAACAAGTGTTGTGATCTTTACTCATAAAATTTTGGAGGCATGTCCTACATTACTGCTTTAAATTAAGCAGATATCACAGGATTGTAACTTTTTTTTTTTTTAAAGATGGCAGGAAAAAATGTAGACTATGTTTTATGCACACACAGTCAGCTCAAGTATAACCCAAATTGTACCCAAATTGTTTTCATTCTTTCC